TGGAGGCATGCAGGCAGACATGGGACTAGAGCTGAGAGTCTACATCTTAGAGGCAACAAGAAGTTGACTGAGGCACTGGGCAGTATCCTGAGCATACAAAACCTCAAAGCCCACCCCCACAGTGACATACTTCCGTAGTTGTACCCACTCCAACAAAGCCACACCTCCTAATAGTGACACTTCCTATGAGATTATGGGTGCCAATTACTTTCAAACTACCACATTCCCCTTCTAGAGTGAATTAGGATAAGAAGGTCTGCATTACCCAGAAACACAGATAATCTGCAGCTGTGTTCATTACTCGCTCCTGTGAGCTGACACGAAGCAGCTTAAGGGCGGAAGTCTCTTTTGTCTCTCAGTCTGTGGCTGCAGTCCTCGTGGAAAGGACATCATGGTGGCAGGACTGACTGGGTCCGTGGCAGCCAGGGTACGAGGTCACTTCCTCACATCTGTGTGGATCAGGAAGCAGAGAGAAAGGGGACTGGCAGTGCTCAGCTGGCTTTCTCCTACTCCTCTTTGGTCAGTTCTGGACTTTAGCCTGTGGAATGGCGTCACTCCCGGGCTGAGCCTTCCGCTGCAGGTACGCCTCTCTGGGAGCACCTCCCAGACAGACCCAAAAGTGTTTGCATAGAAGCCCAGGCATTTCTCTTTCCCTTTCTTAAAATCCTACTTTATTTTTTTATTGATGTATATGTGTGTTTCTGTTTGTATGCGTATGTACACACACATCCCATGCGCCTTCAAAAGCCAGAAGAAATCTCAGATGCCCCAGGCTAGAGTTACAGGCAGTTGTGAGATGCCCGGTGTAGATGCTGAGAACCAAACTCTGGTCATCCAGAAGAAGAGCAAGCTCATTTAACTGTTGGGTGCTTCTGTTCTCTGAGTTTGTATCTCCTAGGCATTTCTTCATCCAATAAAGCTAAAGAGCACAATTAGCCATTATAACCTAGAAATGAAACCAATATCAACTTTAGTTTCTTACTTTATTTCAACCAAACTTGCCTGAAGGGGGGGGGAAGTCTTAATCACTAAATTTTCACCCCTAGGTAGTTTTGAAACTAAAATATATATGGCACAGAAGAGAATCAAAAGCCAGAATTTAGAGCTGGGATTCTGTGTTACTTTGTTAGTATAATAATGGAGAGGACTTGGTCATTGTCCTCTAAGGTACCCTGCAGTCAAATCAGAATATGAGCGGGAAAGAGGCCCTGCCCTGCCCTACTAGTTGTAAGTGGACCCTTTTTAGTAGCATCGAAACATGATGATGATTTTCTAGACAAAAACAATAGATCTATAAATAACCAACCTATCCTAGCTGAATTTAGTGCATTGACCGTGCTTTGGGACTATATAAGGAAGAAACATGGGCTATTTCTCAAAGGGTTGGCCGTGTTGACAGCTTTGATGTTAAGACAGGATTGTTGTCATGCAGCTGTGATGTCCATGACTCATCTTCGAGTCTTACAGTCTCTGCCTCCTTGGCTTCCCTGCAGTGATGAACTGCAACCTAGAATTATAAGCCAAATAAACACTTTTTCCTTTAAGTTGCTTTCATCACATTTTTATCACAGCCTCAAGAAAAAATAAAGGGCCAAGTGCCCCTCAATCTCTAAAATAAATCTGTGTTCCTGTGTGTTCCTCTCGTTTATTACAGCAGTGAAAAGCTAGCAAATACCAATATTCATATGTGCATTATAAATAAAAATGGCAATAAATGCTAATATAACACCCTTCACATACACTTACAAATAAAAATAGTAGGAGAAGTAAAAGAAAATATAATTAAGAAACAGGATTAATGATTATTCAACTTTTTACTGTTCCCCAGAACCATTTAAGACTGAAAAGGTCTTCTTCTGAGAAAATTTCACATGTCCATAATCTTAAATACAGTTTCACATTGAACTCATAAACCCCAGAGAATATAAATCACTTGTGTGCCTATTAACCCCAACTCTGAACCAGTAGGTGAATCTAATATGACTCAGTGGCGATACATGGGGATTTAAATTAATTAAATGCACTAGAAACTTGATGCTCCATTTCTGTCAGCGTGTTAGAGCTCAATGGGCTGGATGTGTGAGGCCTCCATTTCGGGTAAGCAGGTCAAGGACCCTTTGGAACTCTGTGCCTGTAACCGAGATGACAACTTCAGCTAGGCCCTCAGGACTATTTTATAATCGTTTAGTTTTTATCTTGTATCTTAGTAAATTCTCCATAATGATAGTATTAAACCTTTTCCACATTTCTGCAAGCCGAGAGCTTAGGATGGGTGGAGCTTATCTCATGTCGGCCTCATCTCTTGAGGCTAGCTTATAAATCTTCCAACTTTTCTTATATCTACACTAAATATACTGTGGGTTTTCCCTTAGTTATTAATATAATGTGCTACAGAAATATCAAATACCAACAATATAATCAGAACTTCAATAGTGGACAAGTGACTACTGGATCAGGCTGTTTTACAGAATCCCAAGGCGGCTCACATGCGCACTCAGAGAGTAACCCTTTGACATTCCGGGATCTCCTCCTAGCATCGGTAAGGTCATCAGTGCCCAGCACGGGGTCTCAGCATCCAGCTTCCTTGAGATGGAAGGCTTTTGCAGTTGTTCTTTTCATATATTTCGTCTGAACAGTCATCACTCAATGTGAGAACTAGAGCAGATAGTGTGTTAGTTTGTGCATATCGGTGAAGTAAGCGTAGGGCCAAAGCAGAATCTCTAAGGTGCTCTTGGCCGAAAGAAGCTGGATTTGCAGATCTCCCTTCTGTTTTTAGGGTTCGAAGCCACTGCCGCAATGGGTTGTACTGTGCTGTATCTTTTGTCTTTTACCATGTTGTAAAATATAGCTGTACTGCTCATCACAGCTGGAACTAAACCAGATGTTAGCCCTTGTAGGGAATGACCGCTGCTGACCCAGCACTTAGTATTTGATGGCACTCTAGGGGAAACAGACTATCTTTTAACTGGCCACCTGTTTGTAGCCTTTTCAGGTGTTGAGGATGCGCACATGTGTCCCTGAGCTCAAGGTGTTCACATTGCTAATGTTCTGAGCTGCTTTCCAGGGAGGAGTGTTGGGACAGCACTGCTCTTCCTCCGTGTAAACTCAGGACTTGAAATCAGTATTTTTTTTTTTAAGATCTCTAACACACAAGGCCCTGGGTTTGATTCCCGACACCAAAAAGAAAAAGACACCCCCAGAAAGTGACACTCACTCGGTTAGGAACTTTTGTTCTGAACTGTAGTGTAGTCAGGACCCAGGACTATTCCGTGTAAACTTCCTGTATCTCGGAGTGATTAATTTACTATGAATTCCAAATGTTCTTTGCTGTAATGTATTCTTCCTCCGTGAAGAATATCTAAAAGTTAAATTCCAATAAAATGTAACATATCAAGCCTAGGGATCATATCAAGCAAGGGATTGAGGTCAGTCTGAACTACGTAAGGAGACCATGTCTCAACAAAATTAGAACAGATAAATTATAACTGTTACAGTGACTAATGTTCATTTCTAGCTTAGAATTCATTTCAATTTTCAGTCATTACTAATTGTCATTGTGCCTGTCATGCCGAGGCCCCAGCACTAAAGAAAGACCAAGCTGTAAATACAGCTCGTCTACTCTTAATTCCAGGCAGGCACAGGTGTTTCTTAAAATGGGGCTTTCCTAGAAACTTAACATTGGAACTCTAGTTCAAAGGACCTCTGGCCTGTTGTTCATTCTTTCATGTCTTCATTTAACAAACATTTGTCAAATACCAACTTTGTTCCAGCCACTGCAGTCTACACCAGACGTGTAAAAATAAGCCCTTGACCCTGAGTTCACAGACCAACATAGTCATGGAGATAGATGTATGTGTAAGTCATTGATAACAGCGCTGAGACGTGAAGGGTTCCCAGAGGGAACCGTGGAGGGCAGAGGCTGGCAAACCGGACAGTTCAGACCCAGCACACGGAGACCAGTTTCTGTTTCATGTCTCACAACCATCAGGAACATGGAACTTCTGCGACCAAACCACCCACCCTGTCCTAACCACCAAACCTTTTCTCTCCTCCTTGTGTTGGATTCTGAAATCGTTGACTGGAACTTCCGTTCATTCAGGCTCCTTGTCTTAGTCAGGGGTTCTATTGCTGCAATGAAACACTGGGGCCAAAGCAAGCAGGGGAGGACAGGGTTTGTTTGGCTTACTTACTCTTATTCCGTCATGGTGGAGGAAGCCAGGACAGGACCTCAAACACGGCAGGAACCTGGAGGCAGGAGCTGTTTGCTGACTTACTTCCCATGGCTTGCTCAGTCTCCTTTTATTATAGAACCCAGGACCAGCAGCCCAGGGGTGGCCCCACCCACAATGGTCTGGGCCCTCCCCCATCCATCACTGATTAAGAAGATGCCTTACAGCTGTATCTTAAGGAGGCCTTTTCTCAAGTGAGCTCCCTCCTCTCTGATGACTCTAGTTTGTACCAAGTGGAATAAGACCAGCCAGTCCACTCCACGAAGAGTGACTACTCTGTCTCTCTTCCTGCTCTCTTTTTCCTTGACTCTCAGTGGCCAGTCAGTGAAGACCTGTTAGGGTCTGTCCACTGCTAACGTTGCTGCCCCACAAGCTCTCGGACTTAGGCGTCTGCGCTGCTCTTCCAAGTTAGTCTCCCCATCTTGAGACTTTCTTCTTCCCAGCTTACTCTCACCAGTTTACAACATCGAAGTGGCATGGGGGCATGGTCAGGGTAGTGGTGGGGAAGGGTGAGCCTGAACAAAATGGAAGGACATGTATGAAAATGTAATATTAAATTCATGTGTTACATGTTAACTTAAAAATAGTAAAAAAAATGTATTAAAGCTCTAAAGTAATAAATAAGTAAGCAATGTTGTTTGGCTGTGGCTCTGCCTCCTCTCAGGAAAGCTCTCACTCTGTAGAGGGAAAGCTTCAGCCAGAGCGTGGGTCTAGATCCTCTCTCCACCAAGGACTCGCTCAGATCACCTCTGTTCTGTTTTTATATGGCAGGTTCAAAATGGAAGCCCCAAGTTAGAGAACTCTAATCATGAGGATTGATGAAGCTAATGCTTATAGGTAAAGTGCCTAACATTTGACCGGCAGTTACTCACGATGGCAGTTTTACTCAGGTGGACATCAGGTCTGTTTGGTGTAGAAGACTTCCCGTGCCACCCAGGATCAACCAAGTGAAGGGGCGAAGAGGGGGCAAGTCAGTAAATGAGTTATTCCTGATGGCAGTGCTGGTGCCGTGTTAGCAAGGCACTGAGTGGCTGGAGAGAGGGGGAAATCCTATTTAAAAGTTGTGTTGAGTCTTTTATATGGTAGCTCCAGTTCCCATACTTAATAATTTCTAAACCATAAGTTCCTCAAACATAAAACTTTCACATCTGTGATTTCACTCTGTTCCTTTGCCATGACAGGTAATTCTGTTCTAGTGCATGTGAATTTTGTGTCTGTTCACTCAGGAATCACTTGAGGAGAAGAAAAGCTGGGCATTAGCCATAGAAAGGGAAGAAAAGGAGCCACAGAAGACCAGAGTTTATAGGAAATCTTCGGGAGGGAGGGATGGGGGGCTAAGAACAGTTATGGAAAAAAATGTGGGATCCTGAGCATGGTACAAGAACTGCTGAGAGAGGTGGTGTCAGGACACCCAAGATCGCACAGAAATTCAAAGTGGCTTATAAATACCTACAAATCCAAAACAGCCCTGGGTGTAGGTGGTAAAGAAGAATGCAAGTTGGAAACCGCGTTTGGTCCTGGGAGCAGAATAATGTGATATTTAAGTTCAGACTGAACTGTGTTCATAACATACCACTTTCACTCTTCCTGTCGCGATTCTGTCGTGTGGAGGATGGGATCTCAGTGACTTTAGGAAATGACACGCTAGGGTTGAGGGTCGCTGGAGAGTGCTGCTGGCGACCAGTGGGGGATGCCCCTTTCGCTCCTGCCGCTGCTGGTGGTGAAGGTGGTTCTTACCGTTTACTTGTTTTCTCTGGTCAGACAAAGGAATTTGCAAATATTCCAATCAAATTTTGGGAGAATGTAAGCAGGGCTTGTTGCTATGTATCTGTTAGGTGCTGTAAGATATCTGTTTTCTTGGGGATCGTTTCTCCTTGGACACTTCCGTGCATGTCGGCAATGTGTTTTGATCATATTCTCCCCTAGCTCTTCTCTTCCACGCCCTCCCCTGAGCCGCTCCCACCACGCCTCTCAACCTCACTCTAATAACCCATTAAGTACATTAGTGCCGTCCTAGTAAGTGTAAGACCACCAGTGGCCACGCCCCTGAAGACAACTGACCCGTCCTCCCACCAGCAACCACCAGCAGCACCTCGGCTAAGGCCCCACCCACGTGCTTGATTGTCTGTGGGTACCCACTGCTGTTCTCGTCCCAAGAGGGCGACAGTCATTCTGAGACTTGGCCAGTATCTGCAGTAACCAGTTACCCGCTGGACATGCTGCCCTTGTTGCCCTCGGCTGGCAGAGGGTTGCTAGCAGCGGCTTCATTAGCAGCTCCTCTAAAGTGCTTGCATGCTTTAAACACATTCCTACTGTCGTGTTTACTCAGCATCCTCTCTAGTGCTAATACAGAATTTTATGAGCATATAAGCAGCTTGATTTAGGAGACTTTAATACGACTAGACTGTGTGGGGATGGCACACTAAAAATCTCCTATGGGACACTTCCCTCTCCCGCTGTTCTGAGCCATCCTGCTTCGGGCTTTCCCTGAATGTCCTCTGTCATTTTCTCTTTGTGCTGTTAACTTAGCTGTACCTCCTAACAAACTGTGAGTTCTCCTGAGGCGATACACTGAGCAAGACTGCACAGAAGACCTGCCATTGTAGGTTCTGAGTCGGGGTCTGATAAGTGGTGGATCAATGCCTCTGTCTATGTGACTTAGCTGATCTGGGCCATGCTCAACTGTGTACCAGTGACGTTTAATATTACTCAATTAAGAATACTTAAGTAATAAGGTAAGAGTAAAAATAAGAAATAAAATGTAACAGAAAAATATTGGTATTAACCTAATTCTGAAATTCGTCTGCAGAATAGCTCTCTTTTTTTAATACTGGGGGTTGACAGTAGTACTCACATGTGTTGAGTAAGCTTTCTATCACTAAACTGTGTCTCCAACCCTTATCTTACCTTTTATTTTGATGCAGGGTCTCATTAATTTGCCCAGGCTGGCTTTGAACTCACTCTGTAGTCCCAGCACGATTTGAACTTCAGATCCTCTGAAGCACAATTAATAAAAACTCAGAAAAATTGAGGTTCAACTTGAAGATCTGAAAAGCGAAACAGCCAGCCACTGGCTCTTACCTCGACTTCAGTCTGAAATGGCGATCTTGTCTCTGGGAATCTTAGAATGAGACAGAGAAAGAGACCTGTCTCCTCCTGTCTTATATTCCTCTCTGGGACTGGGATTAAAGGCATGCACCGCCCAGTTTCTATGACAACTAGTGTGGCTACTAGAATTAAAGGTGCATGTTACCACTGCCTGGTCTGTAAGACTGACCAAGGGGTTGTTTTACTCTCTGATCTTCCTAAAATACAAATGAAATGCCACTACAGTCCTCCTGCCTCAGCCTCCTAGCACCCAGCCTAGGAGTTATCTCTCTCTCTGAAGAAAGTTCCTTTCCTTCTGCAAATGCAAAGGCTCAACCCTAGTTTCCATTCCCAGTTACTGCCTACTTAAGAACTGGAATAAGATGGAAGGCCCAGGGTTCCACCGTGGCAAACTAAAGAGAGGTCCTGGCACAGCCACCTGAGAGTCACACCCTGGAATTGGAGACACAATGACACTAAAGCACGTGAAGACACTGAGTGACATAAGAAAGTGTTTACTGTGTATGCGCTGAGTGTCTAACACTTGGCTCACAAAAGCCTTGCTGTGACACATGGCTGTGTAATGAGCAAATGACAGACATAACATACAGAGTACCACTTGGCCACTTAGCACATGCTCTTTCAAGCCAGTGTAGGAAGTGTATTCTTTGCACATGGCATGGGACTAGAAGTCAGGAAGTTTTCAGATGTGTTAGAAAGAGCCTGGCATGGGCTGTATGATGGCTTACTAAGTCATGTGCTCACTTAGGACAGCAATCCAGCTGTTGCTGCTTCCACCTCCTAGTGCAGCCACTGGCCAGGACCCAAGAAGAAAACTTCAACAAATGGATTTCCCCCATTCAAGCAAAGCGCGTGGCTCCAAGCTCTTTTGCAGTATGGCCGTAACTGTGTTTAAATGGCAGCAAGGTTCTCTCTGGTGCTGTGTTTTTGGTTTTTGGGTTTTCTTCTTTTTTTAATATGTAAAATGCCTTCAGACTCCTTTCAATGCAGAAGGTAAGAAATCATCCATCTAAAGAGCAGGGCTGGTTTCAGTTTCTTCCTTCTTCTCTTGGCCTCTCCCAGACAGTGAAGACTGCATCCTAGAGCCGCTGTCCCTGCCAGAAAGCCCAGGTGGCCCCACCGCTTTAGCAGGGCCTCCATCTGTGCCTTGTATCTTCTGTGAAGAACATTTCCCCGTGGCTGAACAAGACAAACTTTTGAAGCACATGATTATTGAGCATAAGATTGTCATAGCTGATGTGAAACTGGTTGCAGATTTCCAAAGGTAAATTTTGGTTTTGTCTCTAAAAGAATTAAGTTTGCTCTTGACTGGAGGATGGTTTCTATCTACACAGAGATTCATCTCTACACAGATATGGAAGATCATGCTCAGGGGGGTTTCCTTAGATTTTTTTTTGTTTCAATCTTTTATTGATGAGCATCTAAATCATGATTAATTAAAACATGTTATGTATTTCCTACTGAGGAGACCTCACAGCAGTTGCTGACTTGGTAATTACCAAGAGCATAGAATCTGGAGAATCTGAAAAGGCTCCTCCTCATTGGAAAGTGGCGAGTAGTCTCAGCGTTATAATATCAGTGCAGACTGTCTCTCAGGCCACCCACGTCATTGCCAGGCTCAACCTCATTCTTGCTGGGGTCTTCTAGAGCAGCAGCCCGCATTATTGGCAGTGGTGAAGACTGTGGCAATAAACAGGCAAGCCTGGGCCGGACTGCAGGCCTCGTAGCCTTGTGGCGTGGAGCAAGCAGGTTCACACAAGCACTGGCCGCCTGTCTGTTATGAGAGACTAGCACCTGCCTGCGACGTGCTGCGCAGCTGACAGATGAGAACCAGAATTTATTTGTCTTTTGGTTAGTGATGAAATTGCAGTCTTGCAGCTATAGCTTCAGGTTTCAGTGACCTTTATACTTGTCTGAAAACCTAATTATCATTTATTTATAAGATTAGATTTTCAAGAAAATTTCATTCACTCTATCTACATTTTTAGAAAGACAGTTTGTTTGAAGCTGAAATAGTAGTCCAGCTGTCCTCATTTCTGATGTCCTCCCCAAATGCCTGACGCCAGCACGGCTATGTGCACCATGCCTGCTGTGTCCACATGGATCCAATACCCACCATGTATGTGCCAGCATGGAATATGTGCAGCATGCCTGCTGTGTCCATGTGGATCCTAACCCATCACGTATGGTTATTTTTTTTACTAGACTTTGATGTTGCCTGGTCATAGAAGAGAGCAAGGAAGTGTGAGTGACATGTGTCACCAACTCCTAAACTAATTCTTGCATGTCTTCAGGACCAACACATAGTACATCTCCTTCCCCTTTATACTTTTTATAAAGTAAAGTATATTCTTTACTTTATATTAGAGAGAAATGGTCAGAATAGTTGTTGTTATTAGGAGCTTTGCTAAATATAATGCTCTTTCAGTATGTATTCAAATCTGTTTATTTAAGACAATTCCTAAGCTAGACATTTTCCAACTCTTTTCTTCTCCAGGTAGCTATGGCAGGACTATTAAATGAGTACGTCTTACTTTACTTAGCTCTTCTTTGTTATAAAATCATCTGTTTGCCATATAAACAAAAATTAATTTAATGGAACCAAAAGTTCATCTCCAAAACAGTCATTGATCGTATGTGATCAGTTTGGTTAGAGTCTTCTCAACACAGTGTGATTTACTCCAGCCTCAGATGAGAAACTGTAGAGGACCGGGGAAACAGCGAGAGTGAGGAGCTTGATTGACACGGACGGATCCTCTCTGCTCAGAGAAAATCTGATCCTTCGAAGCACGAGTCAGAAAGGTTTTAAATAAAAGAAATGGGATGGGTTTGATTTTTTTTTCCCAGAGTCTCTTTGTGTAGCCCAGGCTGGCCTCGAGCCCACATTCCTCTTCCCTGGGCTTTTAAATGCTAGGATTGCAGAGTTACACCACCACTCCAGCCTTACCTTGTGTGTTCTAATAAGTAAGCCGTAAATTTTCATATTAAACATACTTGACACTCTTTATTGAAACATGGTAAGTATAAAACTTCCTAGGGCAGAAGAAATAAAACAAAACAAAACTGAAAATCTCCCCTTTGAGGCCATGTAGCAGTTATTTAGAGAGAGCTGTTTTCTGGCTTTCTTTGGTGGATAAAATTGTGCCAAAGGATAAATGTTAACTCTGTAATTTCCTATGTTCCATTCATTCAGTGCTGTTACATAATAACCGTATTTCAACCCATCATACTTTTATCAGTAGGTATACAAACTAAAGTGCAGGCCAGAGCAGGCAAGATGTAGCCACAAAGATGTTCTTGTATGTTCCATGGGATATGATTTGAAATTCTTATCAACAAAAGTATTCGCTGATTACTTGCCAATTATTTTTATGACTTTTTAATAAAGTTTCTAAATGTGATCATGACTGTCCTCTCAATAAAGAATTCATACCACATATCTCATTAAAGTCTTTTATATATTATAAAAAATATATATACTTTTATATATTAAAGTCTTTTATAGCTATATTGAATAGCTATAACTGTAACCTTGGCTAAACTAGAGAAGTAGGGAAAAAGACAAGGAGTACTACATAGTCTTATAACTGAAAAATATGTTCTAACTGGGGCATGTCTTAAAGACTTTCTGTCATTAAGCTGTCAATTGAATACACTTCCTCTTTGTGCCTGTAATTACCACAAGAAAATATATAAATGAATACCATGAGTTCTGGTTAAGAATCACAAAGGTACTGCTATGTGTTTATGACATTTCTAAACTCAAATGTAAGCTTGGACTGTAACACATGCAGCTGTAAAGTGTGTTTTTATGCAGTGCCACCGTGTGATGTGGAGCGTGCACTCACACATGTAAGTTGTATGGTCATTGTGGTTCTCTCTTGAAAAGTCAGCTGTCTCAGGCACCTAGTCCTGCCATATCTAGATTCGTATATTCATGAGCATAAATGTCTGTCTATTTCAGTCTGAATAACAATTCCTGACATCTCTAACACAGGTTCCACTGTCCTCCTTTATCCATACCACCTCTGCAGTGGAAGATGGGCTAAACAGAACATTCCCCAGCCTGTGTGTGTGTGTGTGTCTGTCTGTCTGTCTTTGTGTCTCTGTTATGTGTACTTGTTTGTGTGCACATGTGTGTGCATCCACATTGTGTGGAGGACAAAGATCAACGTAAGGTGTCTTTGTTCATTGGTCTCCACCTCATATTTTGAGACAGGGTCTCTCAGGGAGGATGGAGCTCATTGATTCAGCTAGGCTGGCTAGTCAGTAAGTTCCAGGGATCTGCCTGTGTCTGTGCACCCACCACCACCTCTAGCACTGAGGTTTACAGATTCAGGTGCACAGCTTTTATTGGGTGGAAGCTCAGGTCTGTGTGACAAATTTTTTACTGACTGAGGCACCTGAGCTTCTTTCCTTTCCTTTTTCTCCTCTCCCACCCCCTCTTTTCCAGGACAGGATAGTTAACTAATAGAGAGAACAGAAATAGCTGTGTAGAATAATCCCAAGGCATGGAAAGTGCTGAAGTTGGCCAAGAAAATGATGCTTTGTCTCCTTTGTAGATGCATTTCTCTTGGCTACTTTGAGGGATACACTGTCCCTTCCACATCTAAGACATATGGAAGCCAGTGGGTTAGCCACATGTGCAATCTTTGTAATTCAAGCTGAGCTAGAGCTTAACATTGTCATTTTCTGATCTGTGGATAAAGTTAGAATTATTCTGTAAGGAATGCTTCTCCTCCTGCACTTTAGATTCCCAGGGTAGCTAGACACGAGGAGCAAGAACTAAATATGCGCTTCTGTCTTACCGCTCATTGCCTTCCTTCCCTGTGTATCCTCGTCTTCCTGTTGGCCATTTTTATTTACTTGCCAGTTCGTGTCATGGTTCTCTTCTCCTCAGATCTCTCTCAATAGACTCCTTTCTAATCCTGCACTCCCCTGCCTCCAGAACACCATGAGGTGACAAATATGCTGAAAGAAGAGTAGAAGGACACAGATGTGGGGAGCTGCTGGCTAGAGAACCCCACAGACGTCCCCACGGACTCACCCACATTCTCACAGTATTGACTTTGGTAGACCATTGCTAGATGCTGTATCAAGCCATTTAAATGTCCAGATCCTATCCTTTCTATGTTCTTTCAGTATTTCAGTAAATTCCATTTTTTTTTAATGAAGCTTTGGTTTTTTGGTGTAACTTGCTTTTCTTATCTGTAATTTGTGTGTTTTAATAAACTGTCAACGATACTGTCAGTCTTCCCATGTCCTTCTCGTCCTGAAGAAGACCACATTCTCCTGTTGGTGCCCTCCAGTCTTTGAGGTGACACTATAATTCATCTTGTTATCATAGATGCACTGAAGGACGAGCAGCTTGGCTGAATCGTGTCATTTACTTTCTTTCCGCACATGTACAAGACTGGGTTCTGATTTGCTTTTAAGTTTAGCCCATATGCTACTTCTTCTAGCTCTGCTCATTAAATATGATGTTAGCTCAGCTGTTTTTCCAAGGCTACATTTCATTTATTTCCAGCACAGTGTGGGCATTTAGACGCCTGTCTAATTATCCAGATGTTGACTGTATGCTGATATCTCAGTTCACTGAAGATGACCACTCAATCTTCTCTTCATCTTCTTGGGTGTCACAAGCCTATATGATTCTCGCTTTGTCTTTAGATTTATTTATTATTATTATTTTTTATGTATGGATGGTTTCCCTACATGTGTGTCTGTATACCACAAGAATGCCTGGTGCCTACAGAGGCCAGGAAAGAGAATCATATCCCATGACTAGAGTTACAGATACTTGTGAGCCACGATGTGGGTCCTGGGACACAAACCAGGATCCTCTGGACAGCATACGATGCCCTAAACTGCTCTGACCCCCTAATTCTTACATTTTAAATATATGTCAACTATAAAGTTATTTTAGAAAGCTTTATTATCACAGTAAAATAATTCACCTTACCTATGTGTGGTAGCATTTGCCTGTGACCCCAGAATGTAGAAGGTGAAGGCCCAACGATGAGGAATTCAAGGCTAGCCTCAATAACAGCATGTTTGAGACTCTGCTGTGCCATAGTGAGCCTGCCTCAAACAAGCAACCAAAAGAAACTCATTTTGGCTTTCTTACGTACCTGTTTGTTGAATGTCAAAGTTGTAAGTTTATTCATTTCATGCCTCTGTAGAGTAGTGTGGTTTTATTAAGCATATATCTCGTATCTGCAATGCCCCACTGCCTCTCTCTTCACATCCTCTCCAGCAGTTCAGTTAACATCTGCTTTTTAATGTGGGGTAATTAGACATTCTTGTATGATCCTGTCATTTTAAGAGTTGTGTATTGAGTCTCATCATCCTTCTGAATATCATTTCTTAGGTACATTTTATATTGGAGGAAAAGGTTCACGGAACAGCCCATCACAGATTTTTGCAGCGTGATAAGAATCAATTCCACAGCTCCATTTGGTAAGAGCGTGAGTTGACTATCCACAGAAATCAAAACTCATACAAATAATCTCACTCCCTTAAATTACACTTGCTCTCACTTGTATGGTAGCTGAAATTATACTGATGGTTTTTAATTTTGCTTCACTAAATCTACATCAGAACTAATGGGCATGCACACACACACACACACACACACACACACACACACACACAGTTAAGCTACAAGATGATGTTGGCTTCTACCACTCTTTATCTTTTAAGGCCAAGTCTTTCACTGAGCCTGTAGCCCGTCAATTGCATAACTAGCTGGCCGGCAAAGTCAAGGGACCCACGCCCCGGGAGGCTCCAAGTCCAGGTCCTCGCTTGCTCAGCTAGCGCTTCACTGACGAGCCCCCTTACCACCCCTTCATAGCCACACGGTTTTAAAGAAGTAAATATTCCTGGAAAGAAATTTTCATTTTTCTCGTCTGTTGTCCTACTGTCTCCACAGAAGAACAGGACAACTACTTCTTGTTGTGTGATGTGTTACCGGAAGACAGGGTCCTCAGAGAGGAGCTGCAGAAGCAGAAACTGGTAAGAGCTGGAAAGTGTGACTGCTGTGTTAGATAGAAATACAGACAAAACTCAGTCTCGTCGTCCTTTTTTTTCACCTTCACATAAGGAGGTTTGCAAGCTTGCACAAAATAAGAGACTCCACATACATGTTGTGAAACAGAAAATTGTATTCTCTTGACTGAAGGCTGAAGTATTCACTAGAAATGCAGAGAGAGCCCTTGCCTCTGTTTCCTGAGTTATCCCCAACCTGAAAAGATGTCTGCATACCTTCATGGAATTCTAGATGCTTAGCACATGCCAAGGGAGGAATGCACTCAGCTAATCCAAATTGAATTGGCTAGCCTTTTTTTCTTCATCTTCTTTTCACTGGAATGTGCTCTGTGCTAGCATTTCCTTCATTCTCTATTATGAATTAAGTACCTGACTCAATCACCATAGTAGCCTTTCTTATTTTGTTTTATCCACAAGCAAGCAAATCTGAAAACCTCAGCATCTTTATTCTTTAAAAAATGATAACAGCATATAAAAAGCATAAAATTTTTATCCTTGTAAGTTAGCTGTGCATTTTAAATGTTAATTTTATTTTAAAACACTTTCCTATTTATGATTTGATCTTGAATGTTATTTGCAGTTGGCTAATTTTCCTTTAGCAATTTCTTATAAGTTTTCCTTTATCTTTAGATCTTATTAAATACATTCTAAGGAGACTGTGAATTTAATTATCTATGCTGTGTTCTCAAGAAATGCCTCAAAGGACAAAATACAAATAAAAATTAAACTACTGTTATGTGTAGAATCCCTACTTTATACAGTAGTTAGCAAAGAATCCAAGGTATAGCTCATATCGTAAGCGTGTACAGATAAGAATCCACATATATGTCTTAGTAACAGCTGATGCAGAGTGGCTTCCAGAGTTTTGAGAATTAGGTGAAGCAGTGCATGTAATACTCTCAGAATAATACTTGACATGTGGACGCTTTTGGGAAGTGTTAGCCAGGAACAAAAATAGCAATACAGTGTCTTAAGTATTAGGATGTAGGAAGCCGGCAAGTTGTAAAGGCATCAAGAGAGATGTACTTGGACCCGAAGATTCCAGGTGTGTCTGAGAAAGCGGAGGACTGAACTGTCTGAACTGGGGGAGCCGAGGCGGACTGATGCAGGGAGGCGGACTGACGCAGGGAGATGGTACTGAGCTGGAGCCGAGGCGGACTGACGCAGGGAGGTGGCACTGAGCTGGAGCTGGCTGCACGATGAGAATGTGGACCCCTCACCCGTCAGTGTCGCGGGAAGAAGACAGTGAAGGTAGAGAGTGCGCAAAAGGCCTTTTAAGGCCGTCAGATTCTCGGAAAGAGCAAACCTACTTGGAGATTCAGAAAGATGCTAACGATTCCTGAGCGCCAGTCTTTCAATAGGTCTGTCCGCACTGGGAGGTCATTCTGGCGGTGAGGAAAGATGAAGTTGCTCGGATTCCCAGGAGAGATGAAAAATGAAGTTGCGGCTTTCGTAGTCATTGCTCAGCATCCCGCATGCCTTGTACTGTTATTCTGGGCTGTGGTGCCCATGGCCTCGGATGTTCCCACTGCGCTAGTACTGCATAAGGAGAAGGTGCGGTCTGAATTACAGATTGGAAATGCAGAGGTTTACAGAGTCCATCAATACAAAGTGAGAGAGACTGGCCTAGAAACAGGAAGACAGATCAAATTTGCAATCTCCGTATTTCCTGCTCCATCATGTGGAAGCTCCAAGTTAGTATGGCTAGTCCTTCTTAGAGAGTGGGCAATGATTACAAGATGCCTCTCATGTATAAAAAGGTGTTTTAATCAATGGTATACATTTATGGGAGAAAAAAGTCTAAAGCAGTCAAATCAGATAGCATTCAACAAAGTAACAATACACACTTTTAAAATAACACTAAATCGTCGCCCAAACACTAAAATAAAGGCATGCTTTCATCACACACTGGAACTCTCAGTAGCATCATGCCCTTGGTACATAAGAACATCCCGGGCCAGTGATGGCCCACACCTTTAATCCCAGTACTCGGGAGACAGACAGGAGGGAGGGTCTCTGTGAGTTCCAGGACAGCCAGGGCTACACAGAGATACCCTGCTCCGAGGGGTAGGGGAGAAACCCCTGAGAGACTGATCCCCTCAGCGCCATTCTCTCACTGCCACAGCTTGCTTCATTCTCTTATATTGCTATCAGTTATATTTTATGAGATGAGTCCCCCTTTATTAATCAAAGTTTCAGTCTAGTTTCCAGAAAATGTACTATAAGCCATCCAACCTGCTTTGCTATCTGGGACATGGAGCCTGTCTGTGTGAGTGAGCTCAGCTCCCTGAGAGGAGCCCACAGAGTCGCCGGCGTGCGGTCCGCGCTGCAGAACCTCCCAGGAAAACACCGCGTTCTCGTGCCGCCTTGTGCTTTGCTCTTACTTCACAGTGACTCTGCATGTTCATTTGTGTGTCTGCTTATCGTGTGTTTGGGTTCCTTAATTTGTTGTTTAATTTTGCTTTAAGACGGGGTCTTGCTATGCCCTGTAGCCAGGTAACAAGTTTAAACCCTCTTACACTGGCCACCTTCGTGGTAACCGCCGATCAGTGTCACCACCTGGTCTTTCAAGACAAGAAATAACCTTGTATGTACGTCCTTCTCTAGTCCTTGCTCTGCTGCTGAGTTCGTGTTGGTGTCTTCCCTGCCTCAGCTGAGAATATGAGTAGTTCCGGGTTTATAGACTCGAAATGAGTTCAAACCACGGCAGTAGACTTAAGGGTGGGACAATTTATCTTTTTATACTTCATCTGAAACCTCTCCCCACCCTGGTTCCTTGCCTTTGTGAGGTTTGCAATTACCCAGATGTCTGTGTTCAGGGTTTGATTCCTATTTGACACGTCTTTGAATTTGTTTTTAGCTGTATTCTGAAGGAACTACAGAGTTGGGGAAGGTTCTGGAGGATCTGAGTAGCCTACGCCCCTCCCCTACCTTCCAGTAAAAAGGCTTTTCCCTAGATCTTTGTTCATTATTCTGGCTCTCATCCGGCTGGGCTGAGGCCCCCGGTCAGTGTATGCACCTCCGTGATGGCTCTCCCACACTGAAGGCCTGACTGGTGCTGATGGAGAGTAGGAAGAGTGAGTAGCCATCGACCCATCGTCCTGCTTGCTTCTGAACCGAGCTCTAAATTTTCCTGTATCCAGAGTTTCTATGATGATTTAACATCAGCATTTTAAACTTAATATGCCTGAAACCGGAACTTCCTTTCCCTGAACCAGAGCTTACTATGTACCTGCCCTCCTTCTCCTTGTTTTTGGTTGGTTGGTTGGTTGTTTTGGTTTTTTTCAGACAGGGTTTCTCTGTGTATCTCTGGCTGTCCTGGAATTCAGGAGGAGGACATAACCTCAGTCAGCTGGAAGGAGGGGGTGCCCATGAGTGTAGGAAGGATACTTCTTAGACCTTTGGTTGTCTTTAATGACTGAGCCATCTCTCCAGGCCAGAGAAGGGTTTTCTAATAACTATTATAAATGGCAGCTGTGACAATGTTCAAGACAACTCTAAATAATTTATGAAAAGTTTAGCCTGCATAGCGGTTTGGTCCTCTGGAGAGAAAGTGTGTCTTGTTTTTAATCCTGTTTCCTTTATCTCACCTCACTCCACAAGAAAGCAACAAAATGAAATTTCATGTCTCCCACTGAGAAGAGTTTTCCTTCCCAGGCCACTTTTCTTTATAGTTTTTACAGATTTTTAGTAAACGAACATATTATTGTCTATCAACCTCCCTAAATTAAGACACAAATACGCTTCTATAGCTTTCTCACATGATGCCTGGCTTTGTAGAACATTGTAAGTTCTAGTACTGCATCTGGAATAAATGTTCCCCAAATCAGCATAGGATGGCATTTCCTGGTGAGTAGAGCATGGTTAGTAACAGCCCAGCATAGACTGAGTTAGCGTGAATGGCCAGTGAATGATTTTAGCCTTTGAATTAATTATGAGTTCAGAACCTGAGCAATATTTATCTGCCTCCTAAGTTTACCATTTTGAACTTTTTCCTCTGATGCCTAGAATTTACAAGTCATTTTCATACGTACGTATGGTCTTGGGAAGGCTCTATTATTACTGCTATTTCGATGTATGAACAAGGTCACAGTTAGGGGATAGGGGATGTGTGCAGTCGTGGCTTTTAGGGAACCAGTGGGACCCGGGCGTCCTCTGTCAAGTCTGTCTCTCTTCCTGAGCAAATGACATTTGTTAGAAAAGAACATAAATCCATATGTAAAGAAATAGAAATGGGTTTTCATTGGAAATTTTTAAAAGAAATTCTGATTTATTATTTTCTTAGATCAGCAGTAGATAAGAATTTTATTCCCTTGGACCTAAACTGCTTCTATTTTCTTTTAAAATTTGAAGACTGTGTTTTCAGAGTTTCTCTATCCACTAGAGAAATGTGGGGCTGGGGTCGACCCAGCCAGTCCCGTCTCGGGCAGATAGCACTATCCTGAGACACACCATGCTGATAGTTCTCTTCTGAATGTGGTCAGACAGATGGACATTTTACAGTCACTCAGCGCTACCTATTCAGTTTTTAATTTCCTCTGTTTTTACCTAAGTTAGATCTTTTATATGTGTATTGAAGACAGAATACTGGCTTTTTAATTTTCTCATATCTTTAATTCTTCTATTTTCATATTATCCTACACATCTGTCTACCATTTTATGGTAATAGTGTGCTTCTTGTGAATGATTGGTACACTTTTATGTTTTAGTTCTTTGCTTGGCTGGCAGGGGTGAGGTCTTGCCATGGACTTTATTGAGCTCACAGCTCCCTTGCTCACCTGTCCCGTATTGTTGTTATAGGCATGCACCACCCCTGGGTCGAGTCCATCTTTAAGATGCTCTGTCTGTTGTCCCTTCCTACTTTGTGAAAGCTGCCGATGAGACTCACCATCCCTTGCAGCAAGCAGATGGTTATTGACACTCTCTCCGCAGCTTCAGAAAGGGTGGGAGATCCTGATGTCTTTTAT